CAGCAATCTTACAACAAATTATTGCAAGTTTATCGTCCTTAATGATCTCCTTCAAATGCACGAATCGTTCAAATTATGCTAGCTTCTTCTTCTCTCAATAAGCTGAATCTCTCGTTGGCCTGAGTGAAAAATGACTCTTGGAATATCTTTTCTTTACGATAAACTGAATCTCTCGTTGGCCTGAACAGTGACTCTTGGAATATAAGTAGAAAAATATGACTTACAATCTTTTACTGGATCAGCTTCTGTCAGATACACTAACTACACGAAAACTCACAAACTTTCACTGCTACTGCTTCCTACCTCTGGGACAATACCCGAGAACCACGGCCCTTCGCCTTGTACCCTTGAAAAACCAACTGACTATCTTTTTATTTCAAAAACTAACTAAAGTCTCATTCTCAAACCAATCATCCCACCTTTTTACTCTCATCCAATCAAAATGCGTCATACATCTCCCATTTCTTCATTTCGATAATACACAAATTTTTACCTACAATTATAAAATTTCCTAAAACTTATTTACAAAAATAATCTTTTTCTACCAATTCTTAAAAACTAACAAAAACCTATCTTTCTAAAATCTATTCTATTGTCCTAATCACTGCACTAATGTATTTGGAAAACCCGGTTCAATTGTCTTAAGTTCGCTCACGTCACTCAAATGTATTTTAACAAAGAAAATAATTTATGCATAGCTTACGTTTTGTTCAATATAGGTAATCCAAAGATAAAAAGGACTTTCATTCTTCGAAATGTTTGTCGTTTATTAATTCGACTTATCTGAATTATTTTAATTATTTGAACTTTGAAATATTTTTAAACAAACCAATACTTTTCTCGATTTTACATATCATAACAATATATAAAAAAAAGTGAAATAAACCCAATAATATACTTTTCTGCATTTACGTAGTTTTCAAACAATGCTTTTGGCATGTCCAATATATTTTTAAGCCCGTATTTTAACGTAGTCTCAATTTTTGTAGCTTTAGTGTTTTTTGCTAAGTTTTGGATTTGTGTTTCTCTCTTCTTCAAGTTTCTTTCAAGTTCCTTTAATATTTCTGCATATATGACGAATTCTGCAGAAATATGCAGTGTTTTGATGCCAAAAACATTGATTTTTAAATTGGAGAGCACACCCTTGGAACCAATTTTTTTTTATTCTTTAGTACGTAAAATTAAAGAAAAACGTAGTGTCGTTATTTATAACTAATTTTGAAGTTATTGCTACGTTTACATTATTTTTGTCAAAGTTAAATTAATGTGTTTAGACGAATAAACTCGACGAGTAAATTTGAATAATCTTTTATCAAAATAATATCATAACAGGGTCTACTGACAATATATTAGCAAAATTTAACAAAACTGGTGCAGTAAACAATTTATCCAAAATATAACGGAGAAAACCTACTGCAGCTAAAAACAAATTCATGTTCGAGGCATGTCAATATTTGAGTAATAGAAAAATGAAGATTTACTGGTTTAGAAAACCAGTAAAGGCGATTACAGTAGATTTTCAGTAGTATTTTCAGTTAACTTCAATACAACAAGCCATGTGACTTTTAAAAGATTGCAATACATTTTATACATTTCTAAAATAAAAATAACCAATACGATTACCAACCTCCGTAGGAGGGCACTCTAAGAAGAAGAATACATTTTACATTATCCCTGACTGTTTAAATCTTCTTATATTTGTGGTATTCTTATCTTTTGATTGCTGAATATTGGCAGGTTTTGTTTTATAAACGATGTTTTTTAAATGATCTCACAGGAAATAGTCTAAAAGATTTTTGTCGAGTAATCGCGGAGCTATTCGATAAAACCAGGCTTTCCAGCCCATCTTCTGGGAAATACATTATTTAGGTATTGTCTTACCAAAACGATAGTGAATTGGAGCACCATCTTGTTGCAGAAAAATTTTGTCGTTTGGGGTATTGTTATTGTCTGAAAGTTTTGAATAATCAAATTTCTATATTAAAATGTAATTGAGAATATTGTAAGTAAGTATTGTAAGTCTGATTGTGAGTAAGTCTTATTTATTATTTCTTTTACCTATTTGAAATGGACTCCCACAAGCAACACATTCATGATTTAAAAATATTTACTTGGATTAAAAAATAACTGAGCCAACTCAGATATAATACTATTTTACAATAAATCTAAATACGCCGGACCGGTTATCATCATCATCAGTAGCTCGACAACCCTTTCTGTTCCTTGCGTTGTTTCTCCAGTTGGTGATCTTAAGTGCTTTAAGGGCCTTAAGATTTATATTCTTAGCAAAATTTAGCTTTTTAGTATGATTTTTGGAGGTTTGGTGGCATTTTCGTCTCTGACAACTGTAGTAAACATGCTTTCAAAAATTGGAGTTAGACGCCAAAGGAAAAATGCTCTTCCACCTACTATTTGCTAATGACATTGTTCTAATAACAGACAGCTTAAAAGAGATGAAACTGTGCTTGAACTGTGCAGAAGTTGATTTAAACATACATTTTAGAAAGACAATACATGACAAATCTAGTACCAAGCAAAAATCCAAAAGTCGAAAATCATGCAGCGAAATAGGATTAGTTCATAAATATAAATTCTAAGGTTATAAAATCCAAATTACCAGGGATCACCAAACTGCTAGACTACAAAGAAAAATCACTGTATCATGGACCTCACATGCAGCATTATCAGACATCTTCAAGAGCTTCTTATTCTCCTTTTTTTTAAATAGACATGACTCTGTTTGTCAATGTGCTTCCAGTAAGTTGTCATTCCGTCGATTTCGTTGTCTTCCTATTAATCATACTCCTATTGAAGAATCGTCTGTTGCAGTTCTTGATTTTCTTCATTTTGCATCTACTTCGTAAATCTGTACTTCTAGCTCTGTCCCAAAGCGTCTTACCATCAATTTTTTTAAATGTTTTCATCTCTGCTATTTTTAACATCCTTTTTGTCCTCTCTGTGTGAGATCATGTTTCTGCCGAGTATGTCATTATTGGTCTGATGACTGTTTTGTAAATTCGGCCTTTCATTTCTTTCCCAATATTTTTATTTCCCCATACGGTTTCATTCAGGCAGCCTGCGGCTCTGTTTACTCTATTCACTTGATCTTCTACTTCAGTTTCGAGCTTTCGGTAGCTGGATAATGTGCTGCCTAGATGTTTAAACTCCATCACTTATTCTCTTATCTGACCTTCCAGCTCCAATTTACATTTTAGTAAATTTGCGGTTATAACCATGCATTTTGTCGTTTTTATGGAAATTAACATGTTAAATTTCTGGTGATTATATCTAATTGATGCAGCATACATCTTCACTTTGAGAGAGTAGTATTGCGTCGTCTGCATAGAAGATTATTTTAAGTTGTTTTACTCCAATTTGTTATCCTTTTATAGTTTTTACTTCTTTTATTATTTCATTTATAATGAGGTTGAACAAAAGAGGACTCAGGAATCTCCCTGTCTTATCCCATTGCCAGCTTCAATAGGGTCGGTAAGTTCTTTTTCTACTTTTACCTTCATTGTGTTGTTTTGGTAGATATTTTTGATCGTTTTGATTATTCCTAGAGTATCTCTCTTGCGTACAGTAAGTGAATAACGTCTTTTAATTTGACCCGGTCAAATACCTTCTTAAAGTCCATGAAACATAGATATGCTAGTTTGTTGTATTGATATAGATATGCTCTTGCACTTGTCTCATTATAAATATAGCGTCGGTGCATGATCTTCCCGACCTAAAACCTTGTTGTTCTTCTGCTAATGTTATAATTTCATTCAGTTTATTTATTATCACTTTGATTGCTAATTTTAGTGTTGTGTTAAATAAATTAATTCCTTTGTAATTTTCTGGGTCCAATTTGTACCCCTTTTTAAAGAGAGGTATTAGGATGCTTAATCTACATTCTTGAGGAATTCTCTTTTGTTCTATTATTTTTTGGATTAGTTTTAATAGTTGTTTAGTCAGATCTGGTCTTCCGTACGTACCGAGTTTCTTTCGATATTCTATTATCTCCTGGTTATTTTCTATTTTTTAATTTCCTTAATGCTTTCTTTACCTCTTCCTCCTCAATATTTATTTCTTCGTTTGTCGTCACCTCTGGTATTGGTGGTTCATTATCGTCACCTTTAGCAACTAGGAATTGAAAATAGTCTACCCATGTTTCCTTCTGAAAGTGTTTCGTCTTCAAGAGCAACATGTTGAATTATTTGGGAAAGAAGACATTCGATCAATCTGTGCTTTAAGTTAACTTAAGGCACCAAAACACTTTCATTTAACCTAGACTTGAGCAACCAAACTCAGAGTAGCCCAAATAAGAATGAAACGCTCGCTGCTGGGACTGACCCTCAGAGAAACGAAGAAATAATTTGGACAGGTGTCACAGATGTCATACAATGCAAAGCATGGCTTGAAGTGGAACTAGTCGGTATATATGGCCAGAATGAATGACAGGCAGTGGACTCAAAAAGTTACAGTGTGGAGACGATGAGCAAATAAAAGAAGCAGACGTAGAGCACCTACACGATGGGTAGACGACGTCAAAAGAATTGTTACAAAGCAGAAAGCTTAAGACAAACAAATTGGAAGAAATCACGAGAGGCCTATGTTCAACTGAAGATGCAGAAGGTTGGATGTATACCCAGCGAATTAATAAATCCAAACTGAGTCTTATCTAGGTCTCTTACGTAATGACTTCTTATTTTTCCATGAATAATAGAAAAAAAAATTTAATGAGTGGCTCATCAGACTTATTATCGTTCTTTCTTTCGTCGCAAAGCTGTTCATTTTCGGTATAATCGAAACTGGCATGTCTATCAAATATTTTGTTAAATTTGTCAATTTAAACTTGTAATCTCCATAAGCAAATTTTTATAAATATTGTTTACGAAACTGGTTTCCGATATATAGATGTAAGATCGTCGTGAAATGCGCTGTGCATACTTCTTTTTAAGCCTATTTTACTTATTTTACCAGGTTTTATACTTATAAAGCAATTATCTTTTTAGCTACTCATATACATCTGTAACATCTAGAATACCATTTTCTCCACTTACTAAAAAACAAAAAAGAAGCATAATGGATGAAGAGTATGTCCATAAAAAGTTTCGGTATAGGAGATATTTCGAAAAGCAGAAATTTGAACAAGCTGTAGAAAAATATAGAAGAGAGGCCATACAGAGGTTTTCTAATTATGAACATGACCAGTGTGTACAAACCTGTTCAGATGGACTCACAAGATGTTTGAATGCTGGCAACGCTTTAAGTTTTCATGATATCATAGACGAAGAATCACAGCTAACAAAGGCATCAAGTGGGACTGAAACAGCGGATGAAGGATCGTCCACTATTACGAGTAGTGAAACTGAGGAACAAATTTTGCTTCTTTACGACAGACCAAACTCAGTAAGTTTCAGTGGGAAACACTGAATTTGTCATGATGACCACTATGTTTGTAAAAAATTCGTTAGTGTGTTTTTTATTAAATATGTTACTTATATGTCAAACATAATAATTTATATATCAGTTAAGTAAATGACAAATATCTTTTTAGATGTGCTTAATCAGCAAATGTTATAACTTGTTTTAAGTTTTTAAATTTAAAATGTTGTTTTAAGTGAACTTAAAAAACTGCTGCATATTCAAAATTATAAACTTTTAAAGCCCAAGATAAATTGATTAAGTCAATGAAACACCGAGTACTTTTAGTTTCAAAACTTCAACAAAATTTGTTATAATTTATTGTCACTACAGCTATTTCGGCAGAGTGCCTTTTTCAACTGATCTATTTCAAGCAAGCAAGCAATTTGATTGAACCCAGCCTATGAGACATGTTCACCCAGGTAGTACGAGCGGGTGTAACAATTCATTGGAGCAAGGTGTTTTAATTCGTGTTTAAAAACATCAATCACCCCACCGTGCACCAATGCTCTAGACCATCCCTTTCCCCCCTATAGCAATCTGATTCGCTATAGAGGCACAACAATCAGCCAAGTGCTCTTCATGTGGAGGTCCTGGGTAATTGAACCCCAACATGGTTTCCTAACCGTATGTGAAAACTCAGGACAGCGCATCTCCGCTTTATTCCTGTTTATCTTAATGTAGCTTATCCGCGAACTAAAATTGCTTACTTGGGCCTCAAGTCTCCGCTCTGAGTCCCGGCTCAGTTCGGCGACTTGGTGCTCAAGGGGATTGGGCCCTACGTGCCCGGGTTTTTGGGTTTTTGTTAGTTTTTTTGGTGGCCGGTTTTTTGTTAGTATTTTTTTATTTTTTTTGATGGCCGAAGCCGGTTTTTTGTGTTTTTTGTAATTTTTTTGTAGGTGACCTGTGGACAAAAAATCATAATTAGTGTACAATCTATATTATAATAAGGAAAATATACAAATATTATACGATACCATAATACAGACCGTATCCTAGTTAAGCAGCTGGGCCCACTGTGTATGAGGCGATAAGCGATATTCTGGGTGATTTGAGCTACGAACTGTGTTCCTTGTGTGTGTAGTATGATTTGAAGTTTCTTCTCACTCTGGGCTTTTTGTTGAATTCTGTCCATCTGGGGGGGTTTTTTATTTCTCTCTCTCTGGTTTTATTTTAGTCTACTATTTGTTGTTTTCGTCTTTTGTGCTTCCATCTGTGGAAAGCGTCATACCTCATTATCTCTCGTAGAATGTGACTGGGGTGGTTCTCTAATTCTGCGAACTTTTTCCTCGCTTTTTCTTTTATAGTGTCAGTCACTCTGATTTGTTGTAATTCTCTGAAAAGAAATCTTTCAGCTACGTATCTTGGTACGTGTACCGCTTCTCTTAGGCTTTTGTTGTGTTGTGCCTGTATTTTCTTTTTGGTTGTGTTGCATATATGTCCCCATGCCAGTGACGCGTAGGTCAGTACAGGAAGGACTATACTGTTTATAAGTCTTATTTTGGTTTTTATACGAAGTTTGCTTTTCCTTCCTGCTAGGCCTCTTATTGCGGCCCTTGCCATGTTTCCTTTTTGTACCGTAGCTTCTACGTGTTTATTAAAGGTTAGTCCTTTGTCCATTATTACCCCGAGGTATTTCGTTTCGCTTTTCCACTCAATAGGATTGTCTTTCACAGTTACCTGTTCTTCCGGTCGTTCTCGCCTCTTTTAAAAAAGTACAGCTTGCGTATTATCTGAGTTAATTGCAATTTTCCACTTTAGGCTCCATTCTTCAATGTCGTCTAACGCTGTCTGTAGGTTTGTGACTGCTATGTCTACATTTCTGTGTTTGGCCGTTATCGCTGTGTCGTCGGCATAGAGACTTAATAATGTACCTGGTGTTCTAGGTATGTCTGCTGTGTATATCGTGTATAGCAGAGGTGACAGTACTGCTCCCTGTGGTACTCCAGCTTCCGGGTTTCCGAGTTCGGACAGGACTTGTCCTATGCGGACTCTGAAACTGCGGTTGCTCAAATAAGAAGAGATCAGCCTTGTCATTGCTCCGCTGTACCCGTATCCTCTCATTTTGTATAGTAGTCCCTTATGCCAGACTCTATCGAATGCTTTACTTACATCCAGGAATGCAGCTCCTGTGTATTGTTTATCGTTGAATCCAGCTACTATGTATTCTGTTAGTCTAAGTACTTGTAGCTCGCTGGAGTATTCTGATCTGAAGCCAAATTGGGCTTCGGGTATGATATTTAATCTGTCAGTTACAGATTGGAGCCTGCTGAGTATCACTCTTTCCACTATTTTGCTGGCATGATCTATTTTTGGCATACGTTAACACTTTATAGTCTTCAACTGAATGAGTTGGAGAGGGGAGACCTGTTTATCTCATGTTGGTCATTTAGAATTAGGTCTGTATTTATTAATTAGTTAATTTTTATAGATGTTAATAAAGATAGCTTAAGGCCTTATTTTTAATGTGAAGAATTTTAAATTGGTCATTAAAAGAATTAAAAGAAATCTGTTTTTCTAGTTTTGAAAGACCTTTTGTGCTCTAATATCAATTTGTTAAAAGTTCTACCAGTTTAACCGATGTAATTTTTAAGGAAGTCGCCATATTTAAATTTGTATACCCCGCTGTGTAAGTGCTTTTTCTTTTGGTTATTGTTAATTTTAAAATACTTGTCAAGTTGTTGTTTGTTTTGTAAGCTGGTGTTACTTTTTCTTTTTAATGTACACATTGTATGTATACAAAGCTATCTTGATTAAAATCTGTGGAAATTAACAATTTAAAAAATATAGACATATTTCAGATTTCTAGCTTGAGACAAACAGTTCTCCCCTCCTCAATTTATTCAGTTGAAGACTATAAAGTGTAAATATTTATGCCAAAACTAGATCACTTGAGTAAGGCACTCTGCCAAGATAGCTGGATTGATAAATATAAATTATAATTATACCTAATACATTATGAAGAAGTTTTGAAAACGTATTTTATTGTTTGTATGTGATCTTTTAACTTCTCTTCAATGATTCATTATCCATTCATTAGCTTTGATAAAAATTTATTAGGAAATGTAGACAGACCATAATATACTAAGAAATAACCTATCAAAAAGGGAAACATGTATTACGTAAAAATGTTAAGCAACTTTAGTTATGGTATAATAACATTAAATAATTACAATTTTTAGAGAAAAGTTAGAATCTTGGTTTAAATTTTAAATGTACTGCTATCTATGAACCTCCCCTGTTTGTTTTCTAAGAAACTAACCTTACTTTTATATAATTGTAACATGAAATAACCTATACTTACCTATAACCATAGACATATAATATAAATAGACTGTTGCAATACAGGTCCATTTCCCTCCGTGTGACGTGTGTGTCCCCCTTTATCTCTTTCTTACGGGCCGGATTTATCGACAACGTGACTTAAATGACCAATGGGCAGGTTACGTCGTCGATAAACATTGTCCATCAGAAAGATGTTCAGGGACTGCATTTGCGTCAGTTTTCGTTGTATTGCAACAGTCGGTCCATTTGTATTACATGTATATGCCTATAGCTATAGACATATAATATAAATAGACTAACTATTGCCATACAGTCGCGTTTCCCCAGTGCGACAGAGAAAACTGATGCAAAGCTGTCCCTGAATCTCTTTCTAATCTCTGGTTGTATGGACCACGTGACCATCTCATTGGTCATTTAGGTAACGTGAACGAGAACTCGACTATATTGTAGCACAAAATCTATTTATATTGTATATACCTATAACATTAATATAACACAGAAACCTATCAAAATATATTTATTTTATTTTTGAATTATTTATTTACTTATCACTAATTTTCTCAAATAACTCCCTATTGTGTCAGATACCGTGTCAAATAAAAAAAATCGACTAAAATATCGAGGCAATCATGATTCATATGTTTTAAATTTAAATCTTTCCAATATCTCTTTCTTAACCCAGATACTCCTAAAACTTTTTATCTCAAAATTTTTGATAAATTCTGCTATGATTTTCTTTCTACTTCAATAATTATATACGAATTTTACAAATAAAATTTTTTATTTAAGTTGGCCGTTTTTGAGTTATTAGATGTATGTTATAATCAACAGTAGGAATTCAAGCTACTTAAGGATAAATGATTTCATTATACAATAAATAAAACTAAGTATAAAGATTCAAGTTATTCTTTATTATGTTAACTAAAACAATGATTTAGGGTAAAGTGCAACTTGTTACATCTGAACGCTGCCTGCTTATGACATACACCACACCTTGTTTGTTTTTCTTGTTAAATGACGATATGGTCTAATCTATCGAACCTTGGCTCAAAATGTGTAAGTTGACTTTTTTTCGACGGTCCTCATTTAGTTGTTTTCTTATACATTTCCAGTAATCCTAACGCTATGCATCTTCTGAATGCTAGGTGATCCATTTTCCCATTATTACTTTTATGCAATTGTCAAGCATTGTGCTCGGCCATATCAAGACAATGCGAAAATAAACTAAAGTGCCATTTCTTGCTTCTGATATCTATTCTGTATAAGATTATGTTTTGGTCTGCACGGTCTACTCCTCCAGTATTTTTATTATATTTTTGTATCATAAATGGCTGTGGGATGAGCATACTTTTCTTTTCTTTCTGCGAATATCTTTTCACCTGTTGGGTTGGCAGTAGTGAAGTAGCATTTGATGCAATAGTAACGACATTATTGTTGTTCCATTTAAATACTATAGTATTTTCGTCTTCTACGAGTGAGTATTCAAATACACCCGTCTGATCTTTTTCCACTCGATTTTCTCGAATTTTTCCAGTGAATTTAAAAATTTTTCTGTTAACTCACGTAGTAATGGAATTGAGGTAAAAAAATTATCACATAATAAGTGAAACAGCGCACCTGGATTATCAGACTGCAATTTATCGACAAATGAGAATACGACACTGGCTCTAAATCCTAATTCCTTGTATGTATCAGAAAGTGAAGTTGTGGCACCTTGATAAGGTTCAAACCACTCGATATATCCCTGTTTTGTGGTTCCGATCCATAGTTTATAGCCCATCTAATGAGTTGACCTCGGATAAACTCTTTGATCTATGCTGCCCATAGTAAGGGACCATCGCTTCATCAACACTGTGATGTTCTTCAAATTTATTGATTATGTCAAATAGCGGGCGCATTTTAGCAAACTTGTCGCCTTTTTGTAATTCGGTATTATCAGAAACATGTATATTTTGCATAATAAAATTGAATCTACCTCGCGATATAGCCAAATACATCAAATTACACACTGCGTCAACATTGTTTTCCCAGAACATAGACATTCAAGGAAATGAGAAATATCCACTTAGAAGTAATATCCCAACGAAACACCTAATTTCATTTTGATTGATATCACCAGAGCGATTGTGTTGAGATGCATAATATAGATTACTAAAATGTGGACCTTATTATACTAAAATAATTGTAAAGGCGGGAGGAAATTTTTTGACCTAATTTTGACTCCTAATTGACTACTGCAAGGTTATATATGTCAATGTGGTTTTCATCCCCGGAATCTTCGTCGGTATCAATTTTATCGGATGGAGGGAAGACAATAATACCATCAGGTAATGAAGATGGATCATCTAGGTGTTTAATCTCATCTAATAAATCATTGAGAGTCAATGGTTTCGTCCAATAACTAAACAGTTACTAAATGTTATGACTGAGTAGCATGTTATCCTACCGTATGTTATAACATACAGTCATTGTTGAACATTATTTTTCCCAGAAAAAAGAATAAATATTGATACCAGTAATAACTATAGTAAAATATAATAAAAAACGAAAGTAAATGTTAAAACTTGCTGAAAAAATAATGCCATAGTATCCTCAACATACTTACTTCCTTTTATCCATTTTGTATATACCACGTGAGCTGTATATAAATGCAAACCACTACTGATGCATATTTAAAAAGCAGACTACGTTGTGACATCTAGTGAATAATAGTAAAAGTCGAATAATACAGAAATTTGTAAAGCGTATGTTTTAACGGACACTATGAGTATCTGGGTTAATATGTTGACGTTATATGCATTGTGAATGTATTATTTTTTGTTTTCCTGTGGTAATATTTATTGATAAAAAATTTTGTTTTAAAATATTTTACTTAAAATTAAGTTTAAAAAACTTTTCTAACTTTAAAAGCTATTTTTCCCCTATTTAACTACTTCCTTATCAATGAAGGTTGGTTTCTCTGGATGGTTCGTGTTTTCCCTGGACATTCTTAAAATATTAGTTTTCTTGTACTAATGTGTAACTTAAAAATATTGTTTTATTCTTACAATTTATTTGTATAAATATTATAACACAGTTACAGTTGACTATGCTGGACTATTATCATATAAAATGAACAAATGTATCATTTTAGCTTGTAAAATTTGTACTAATGCGTCTGATGAGAGCGCAACTATTGTAAAACACAAAACCGGTCACGTCTTTTATAACCAACAATATTAAAATTGATTTAGATCGTCTAAATTCGGGTTAGCTTTGAAAAATATTCCCATAATAAGGATAAGGCGAAAATTTGTTCAAATTTTTTTAAACAAGTTTTTTTATAAACAAATTGTAACAATCAATTTTTTTAGCCCCGATATATTATTTAAATTTTTTTAATCATTCTTTACAAAATAGTTACTTTGTAGTGTTTTTGTAAACTTGATCATTTTTGAGTTATAAATAATTTAAAAATTGCGATTTTCAAGGCTCAAAAACTCAAGTAAAAAGTATTATTTTTTAATTTGCAAAGAACCTAAATTTAAGGTTAAACTTTGTTCTATCATTCCAAGTATTTTCGGCCTATTTTATTTTAAAACATTGTTTTTTATCCTTAATGAAGGGCTTATGACAGGACGGGCGCTCGGTCTGCGGCGTGTATAAGAGTGAGAAACAAGATTTATGGCACAAATGTTTGCTGGTTTAAACTTTTACTGTACAAATAGGCGCCCGCGCTGCCATATGCGCTTCATCGTTAATTAAAAAACAATGGTTTAATAGTTACTTATGCACCTTATGCTCCTATACTGGTGCTATCATCTCTTAGCTTCGTAATTTGTCCTATAATTTAACACTCTTCTTTGTGTGCTATCTTCTGTCGCGTCGATCGATAAAAAATTTTTACATTACTTCGTGCGTGGTTGTGACGTTACCTGCTTCCAATATTAATTTAGATTTTTCTGTGTTGAGGTTGCGTTTCATTGTTGCAACTGCAGTTTCAGTTCTATATTTGTTTGCTAGTTCCAATGTATAGACTTTCAACTTCAGATGTATAGACCGTTGCATTTTTATGTCCTTGTCTTTTCTTCGCCAATTTATCTATTACGGTCTTTAGATTGTCGCCTGTCAGTTGTTTTTTTTCAATTCCGCTGCTATTCTTGAAATTGTATCCTCTGTAGTTATAAGGTTTCTGGCCTTGTTGGTTGTTAATCTTGTTTTAATTAATGTTATCGCTGTTTCCTCGTATCCTAACGCATCTAAAAATAACTGCAGTTTACCTGCGCTTCCTTCAAACTCACTGGATAACACCTTGCTTGTGATATTTAAAAACTTGTATTAACTGCTTGAAACGAGCGCAAAACTCTATCCCTGATTCTGCGAAAATATTTGTTACACGTATCTCTTTGTTTGTCCGTATAAACGTATAATTCCTTTTATTAGTTCTCTAAGTACAATAATAGAGAGTACCCAGTTGACGGATGACAACACTAACTTCGACCATTCTCTTGATTCTTTATTGTTAATAATAATCCTACTCCAGTGATTTCCAGCTATTTAACTTACGTACGTTTGTTAATATAATATTGTTTTTACTTTTTTAATTTGTACACAATATTTAATAAGCTTTTGATTACATTTCAAATTTCACTAGGTCAGTGTGCGTCCTCGTTACATCGATATTTTCAATGTCATTGACAAACAATCGCGTTTTGCAATAATAGTGTAATTTTATTAAAAGGATTTGAAATTTATAAACTGAATTAGATTTCTTAGATTTGATGCTTAATTAAATCCAGTTACAAGGGGTGTTATTAAAATAATCCAGCCAGATGACCTATGGCCCGAGGAATGAATGTTGCTCGTTGGACATAATCATCTGGTAACACCAGTGGTACATAGAAAATATGGATATATATTTAGTGGGTGCAGTAAAATAAAAGTTAATCGTCTCAATTTTAGTTTTTATATTATATGAAGTGGAAAAAATCTTGAAAAACAACTTTTTGCCTGGGCGACCTCTTGAACCTTGTTTTGGGGTATCTCATTATAGTGATTATGCAAAAAAATCTCATGGGAATATTTGTGGATAATTTTTTCTTTATATATTTATACTTTTTTTATTATTATTATTGTTCCTTTGGCATAGTATTGACAACACAGATTCGTTATTTTTCTTATAAAATAACTAATTCGGCTCCTTGCATATTATAGCTATGCGTCTTAAAATCCATCCAAAAAGGGTCCAAATTATAAAAATGAACAAATAATAAAATAAAGAAATTAATTATAAACGTTTGCGTCAATAAATGTTCAACAAAAAGTGTTAGGTATCTTGATGCAAAAAATTAGTTTTAGATATATTTTTACTTTTACGGGACTACATGGTTCATGACCATAGCAAAATAAATGAAAAAAAAATGTATATATTTTGAGAAATTTTGTTTCTAGATATGCCTTAACGATGTAAAATTCATATTTTACGACACTAATTTAGAGCAAAAGACTTAATAAAATGGTAAACAATACATTGAATAAACATTTTTGTATATAGTTACTGTATTTTGTATCTGTATGTTTAGTTTTGTATATTTTAATAAAATATGTATTCCAAAAAAAATTATGGTTGTTTGTGTTACTTATTTAAATTATACCTTGCTTGTTTTTAAATTTAGTATTGTATGATCAAACTTTATATTTCTGTAGCTATGTTTATGTGATAGTTGGTTTGGTATTCTCAACACAAATAGTGTAGTAGGCTTTCAACCCCTAAGTATTAAAACTGAAAATATTCTTAAAGTATAATATAAAGACTTAATCCAATATGAAAGTACATATTGGTACAGTGTCTTCGGTTCATACACAATAACATTTAAGCTGACATTAAAAAGAGACAAGTATTTAGATGTTTATAGGTATAAATAAGATACATATCGGATCGCAGGCGGATATGAGAACGTTGTTTCATAACCTCAAAATGGCAGGAACGTGTGGCAAATGTTCCAAGAACTGTGTTTTTAAAGAACCTAATAAAGTTACAGGGAAAGTTTTTGGTTACCCTTGTGATATTTGCAAAAGTTCCACATTGGTGCAAGGTCAGTGTTTTGTTTGAAGTGTCTGAGAGACAAAAGAGTTCTTGCAATCCTATGATCATTAATACGCCTCAATAGAGTGAAGAAGATAACACATCTAAAGCTAAGAAACTGCTGTCGGGCTTAGCTGGTTCTTACATAAAAATAGTCAGTTCGACTAGAATTGGTAAACGAAATAAAAATGGATATCAACCACTGCGACTAACGTTAGAGTCACCTGAAATGGTTCGGTTGATATTGAGAATCAAGACAGAGTTGGATAGAGGTTTAAAAGTACTCCTGCAAGCTGATTTAACTACTTAACAACAAGCTGAGGTAAATGCACTGAAAGATGAGTTAAAAGAAAGACGAAGTATTGGTGAATCCGATCTCATTTTGAAATGTTAATGGTGTGCCAAAGTTAATACGAAAAAACCAAACATATCTATTAGGTTCAAAGCCCCCTCAGTCAAGATTTTAAAAGCCTCGGTGTATTTGCAGAATATCAGAAGATTACTTAAAAAAATTTCAGCTACTGTTTGTTAATACTTCTTACTTACAATATGATATTTTAGTTTTTAATGAAATATGGTTAAGAGATGACATAAAGAGCACCGAACTGCAAATGTTTGACTATAATATATACACGTATAGAAGAGATAGATCTTTAGAAGCAAGTACCTTTAAAAGAGATGGAGAAGTGCTTATAGCTCTCTGGAAAACGATAACCAGTGTTCGTTTATCAGCGACTCAAATATCGAACATCTGTTTATCAAAATTGAGATTGACTACATCGACAAGTTTTATCTTTGCAACTGCCTACTTTCCGTCACTTAGTATGATTCAGAAGTCTGTCGAATTTACAGGAAATGTAGAAAATCTAGCTGAAAACTATCCAGAATATAAGTTATGTATCCTGGGAGATTTTAATCTTTCCAATTGCCAGTGGTCCATTGATAGATTGTCTTCTGTGGCTACTCCATTACCAGGAACCTCACCAAATGAAGTTGAGTTCATTTAATTCCTCATATTTTTATGTTCCTTTTATAATCTGTATTCAGTAAACACTGTTAAAAATGCAAACAACTCCTTAATAGATCTAGTCATGATCCAAGATGAAGAGCTGGAGGTATCTAGAGTTGAGAGTACCATACTCCCAGAGGATAGGATCATCCTCCACTCTCATTTGGGTTTAAATAATGTGTATATCAATATTTCAATGAGCCAGGATTTATTGGAGATGGCTTTTATATAGACTTTGTAGCGTTTTTTTATTTAAGTGTATAGAAAAGATTCCTGTGTTACGTCCCTGTTGTTTTTACCAAAGAAAACAATCGAAATAATATTTCAAGTTTTTTTGACGAGATTTTTAAATGCCTATATTTCTACTGATTCAAAAGTAAATATAGATGTTTTTTTGTCTGTGTTTAGATTCAAATATCGAACCTTTTGTTATAAGCCAGGTAAAACTCAAGTTTAAAATACGCACGTATTTTGTTAATTTGTATTATGTAAATTTATGATGCCCCCTGATAAAAAAAAGGTTTTATTTGTTTTCTTCGTTAAAAACGCAATAAATATGAATTCCCCTAATATTATAGTTGTTTTTCGTTATTAGACGAGGGTCAAAAAAAAGGATATTTGTTTGTTTAGGCAATAAAGGAACATTTAAAATTTGTTTTTTTGTCGATACGAGCGAGGGGATATTGTTTTGGTTCTTGAGTTTGTGGGGACAGGTTAGCTGCAAGACGGAAGGGAAATTTTTGGCTAGTTTCTTGTAAAATGTAACGAAGCAAAGGAGTCGAAGAACAGATTTGAAACGGTGTAGATGTTATACAATGTAGAGTCCAAGAAAAGATTTGAAACTGGGCAGACGGCTGACAATGTAGAAAGTCGGTAAAGAGACCGGCTAAAAAGTGTTGAAAATAGTAGACTATATTCTATGTAATATGTCAAATTTGAAAGGAGTAATCACTATTTTCATTTTTCTAAGTACCTAAGGGATTTGTGTTGCCTGCAAAAATTTTCGAAAGATAATCTCACATGTTGCCGTTGTGTCCAGTTTTATGTATTCCTGTTTTTTAAGAAGCCCTTTCCAAAGTCTTGTGTTCCAAATTTTTAACCTCAAGTTTGTAATATTTGTCCTAAGAAGCCGTCCCAGAGTATGTCTCACAGTATGGAAATAGATTTGATCGTGTGGCAGAGAAGGTAACCCCAAAAATCTTAGTGTGTTTAGTGAAACCAAGGTAACCCTTTTTTGTTTTAAACTTTTGAAGGAAAAGAAACATTAAAATAATAATTGCTTTCATACAATTTAAAAGTTTTAATAATTAATATTGTAAATCTTAGAGTGTGGTTATGCTTTCAATTTGATTTGTTCTCCGTTGTAAGTAAGATTAAGATTTTATGTTGACAGCTAGCAGCTAACTTTATTATTTTTTTTTTGACAATAATTTGCCTTGGTTTTTTAAAGAAGATTAACCTCTCTATGAATGTTTTCATTTTAAAGATATTTCTTTATTTGTAATAAATTATTTCTGACACAGTTTCATTAACAGTACAACAGTTAATATTTCAGTAAAATTTGTAAATATTTATAGCAATCTCCTTTGTAGACAAATAAGCACGTAAGTTTTTGCTAATTTTTGTATTATGTTTGTATAATATGTTCTTGTAAAATCTGTATTTTTGATAACTGTTTGGTGAGACAAAAATAAATGTTTAATTTGTTTCTCTGATCTATTTTGAGTTTTATTTGAAAAAGATATTTTTTTTTCTATATTTTTGATGTTATACAATTATTTCCCTAGTTACAACTAGTGGTTGTAATAGGTATAATTGGGCACCTCAAGTGGCGCCCTATATTAAATTTCTTGAGGTGTTTCCGTTAATTTTCATTCTGTTTGTCCCAAGAGATTTGTATAAGTACCCCTTTATTTCTTTTTTTTGTAGTTGCCCAATCCAACCCCCAATATCTTCAACTTATCCACGACTCAGCTCTCCAACAACCAACTGAGTGTCCGTATGCACTTGTTTCGATTATTTTGTTTGCCCAATCTTGTCCCCCATATTCTTACCCTGTGGTAAGCAAAATAGTCGTTACAAATTTTGACGCCCATAGCGTGGGGCAATTTTTTAGATTTTTGATCCTTTTCCTGAAGCCACATATCTTTTTCAGTTTCCCCAGTTCCCTGCCATTTATATGAAACTTTTTTCCTTTTGAATAGTGCCCCAAAGTGTCTCACAAACAGTAGTGTATTTGTATTACAATGTATGTATTTTGTACCAACATTATGTATTGTTGTTTTTTCAGGTAATGTACTTATAGTGACATATGTATTGTTCTTCATATATGTAATGGTAAATGAAAGCAAATATTTGAGTTAAATATTTAAATATGAGTTTTAATTGAAGTATTGATATTGAAAAGAATTTAAAAACAGTAGCAAATTATACAGTTACTGTTACATTTATTTTTTTATTGATTCGACAAATTTTACAGAATAATCGGTTTTTGTAATTTTTTATTTGTTGGGTCATTTTGAGTAAATGTGTGTATTCGTTTGAGTGACTTTTGAGCTATGTAGTTGAGAAAGTAGTATTATGCAGTTTGTCTTCTAATTAACCGTCTCTGAAGGTGTATTTAAATGCCAAGGGTTAATTAATGTTGTTGTACGAGGGGTAGTCATTGTGAGTCGTAGAGAAGATTCGACAAGTTTAGTCTCAGTAGTAGACTGTTTGTATTGTGTATCCTTTCTTGTATCTGAATGACCACAGGTGTAATATTTGTGATCAGGAGATGCTGTTTTAGTTTTGACTAGGAGCAGTCTCATTTAGTTTTCGGAACAAGAGTTGGTTTATTTTGGTATTATTTAGTGTAGCTCACTCAAAGGTCAAGTTTTCAATATTATTAGTATTTTGTCTTTCCTTGTATGTACGGTTTATGTTGTTTGTTAGTGTCCATGTTGTCCCATGTTGTTTGAAACCATTTTTTTAGTCCTTGTTAGTGGAAGTGTGAACTTTTAGGAGACAGGTTAAAGACCTCATTTTTTGTTTACCAACTGATTACTAAGTCAAGAGCAGAAGTTGCAGCAAACTGATTGAGTTTTGGATTTCAGTACGCGGGAGTGCAAGTGAGACTTACTATCAGGTGATAAATGGAAACGGTTGTTTCTTAAAATTGTCATATTTTCTACCAGTTGTTGAAGTTGATTTTAGTTATTTTGTGTGTTTGTTTTCATCCAATTTTTGAAAAATGAAGTCCACTCAGGTTAATCATTTGAAATCAGGAGAGTTATCTTATGAGCTTTTCATAAGAGGTAAAAATGTCCCAAATAAGACAGTTGATGATAAGAGAAAGATGTTAAGAGCTTTGTTGGCCAAGGAGGCCACTTTGTCTTCAAGTTTAGTCGATTTGGTTAATAATGTAGTAGATCCTAAAGAAGAGTTGAATGAGATCATGTTGATTATAAAAGATTTATATAGTTGTGCTCAATCAATAAATGTAGAATCAAATAAGGCTGATTTTGCTAGATTTGAGACAAGGTCTACACATTTAGATACCAGATTAGAAAATTTCCCTATGAATGATGTTGAGGAAGATGTATTAAAGTTTGTTGAAGAGTGTAAAGATGATTTGTTAGTGTTGAAGGGTAATGTGTTAGAAAAAGAGGAAATGTTTGATGATATAGTAAAACCATCCACTAGTAGCCCAGTTTCAGTCCCTGTAGTTCCCAGTTGTACAGTCCCAGCCCCAATAATACAGGTTTCAACTCCTGTCATTATTTCTGATCTACATATTAAGTTTAATGGTGAGAGTAAAGCTCTTCCCACATTTTTAGAGAAAGTTAAAGATTCTGCTAGGTCTCGGAATATTTCCGAAGACATCCTGTTTCGCTCAGCTATTGAGTTATTTGAAGGTAATGCTGCTATTTGGTATAGGAGTGTTAGAGATAAAATTAATAGTTGGGATGAGTTGGTAGCCCTACTCAAATCCGCTTTTTTACACCCAGATTATAATGATAATCTCTTCGAAGAAATTAAAAGTAGAAAGCAAAAAAGGAATGAATCCATAACCATTTATTCAGCAGTGATGGAAAACCTTCTTAAACGTTTGGAAACTTATCCTAGTGAAGCCCAAAAAGTAAAAATAATGAGGAAAAATATTTTAGTGGATTACATTCCACTGATAGCCCTTCAAGATTTTGCTACAGTAGAAATGTTAGTAGCAACTATAAAACGTTTAGAGCAGAATGTCCTGCCCTTGTTGCAGACTACTAAAGGTCTTGCAGGTATTTCGATTGATGATTCAGAAAAGCCCAAAGAACAAGTTCATGTGGTGAATAATCAAACCAAGCAAGATAGAAGTGGAGTAGGTGACAGACAGGACAGAGAAAATTCTTCTAAGAGACCCAATCCCAAATATAAATATGAGAATAATAGACCCAGTCCTCCAGAGAATACTGAAATAAAGAAATCAGTCTTTTTCGTCCCCACCCCCAATGATGCAATCTTTTTCGTCCCCACCTCCATTAATGCAGTCAGTCCCTTATCAAGCTCCAAGAAATCCGAAAAAAATTATTTGTTTCAATTGTAATAGACCAGGTCATATTTCCCGTGACTGTAGAAGCAAGTCAGTATGTTGTTATCGTTGTGGTCATAAAGGTGTGACCATATCTTCTTGTCCCAGGTGTTCAAAAAACTAGGTCGTGTACAGCCAGTCGGCAGTTGTACATTGAATAGATATAAGACCGACAGACCTCATAAGTCATCGTTAAACCCAATTTTTGAAAAGAAAGGTTTTGATAGTCGTCCTCATGTTAGTATTTCCATTTTCTCTAAAAACTTTGTAGTTCTTTTGGACAGTGGTTGCTCTACATCTGTTGTAGGTGCCGCTGGAGTTGAATTTCTAAATTCTCAAGAAATTAAATATAATCCCACATCTACTAAGCATGTCAGCTTAGCAGATGGTTCGAATAAATCAGTTGTTGGTACCATTGATCTTCCAGTAGAAGCTGATGG